AAAATTAAAACTAAAAATGCAGGTTTTTATAAAATAGGATTCAATGGAAGTGTAAAATTACATTTTAGCACAGTGTCCACCACTGAATATGTTTCCTTCTTTCCCTCCTCCTCTTTTCAGTTTAGGCTCACACAGGTTTTAGATTTTGTCTGAGGTTTGAGAGGAAAGTGTTGCATTCCTTCAGAAAAGCTTTTGCCTTATTTCCAATTGTTTCAATGCAATATTAGATAAGATTCCAAATAAGTATGATTTATGGGTATTGTTACATTTATCTGGAAAAAATGCAAACTTAAAAGTGTTTTGACAGGGCTCACCACATGAGAAACATCTAGACCCTTCTAGCTTGTCAAAGAAATGGAGAACAATTGAAAGAGTTTGTAGTAAAGCATGGAAAGGACCAATTTAATGATTTTGTTAAAAATAAATGAAAACAGTTATGTTATTATAACATAACTACTATAATGTTATATGTTATATGTTGTTATAACATTAAAAAGTCAAAATCTTTAATCATTCATTTTTGAAATTACCTTCTGTCGTATAATTGAACATTTGTTTTTGCTTCCTTTTTTCCTCCAAATATTTGGGTTTAGTTGAGGTTCTGGAAAAAAACTTAGTAGTTTACTTTAGACTAAATAAGCTTAAAATTCACTCAATATCGGCATAAAATCTTTTACCAAAACATTTTGCATAGGAACATATTCCTGTTTTCCATAAATTTAATCTACTAAAATCTAAGAGCCAGATCAGAATTGTTTTTTGGCAGGTGAGCTTACAGAAAAATTCAAGCAATCAGTTTGTTTTCTTAAGTCTCTATAAGCATACCTCCTCTGCACAGTGAATTTAAAATCCTTTTGCTTCCACATCTGATAAATAATACAATTAGTAACTAATAATCTTTATTTTTGATGAAATGAAAATGCAGCCATCGCTTTGTGATTTTTTTTTTTTTTTTTTTTTGAGACAGGATCTTGCTTTGTCCACCAGGCTGGAGTGCAGTGGCACAATCTCAGTTCACTGCAACCTCCGCCTTCTGGGTTCAAGCGATTCTCCTGCCTCAGCCTCTCGAGTAGCTGGGACTACAGGCATATGCCATGACGCCAGTTAATTTTTGTATTTTTAGTAGAGACTTTCACCATGTTGGCCAGGCTGGTCTCAAACTCCTGACTTCCAGTGTTCCACCACCTCAGCCTCCCAAAGTGCTGGGATTACAGGCATGAGCCACTGCACCCTTCCGCTTTGTGAAATAATTTAAGCGAATTCACGTGCATGCAACTTCTCCCATGTGTGAAGTAAGTCAAACACAAGAAACATGATCTCCACATTCTATAACAGTAAGTGAAATGTGAATATGGAATGAACAAATGTAATTAAACACTTACCCATTGGAAATGGACATATAATGACAAATATAAAAAGAAAAACTATGTAAGAAGAATATATCTGTACTCAAACTTGTCCTCCAGGCAATATTGTGAGAAATTTCTCCACTAAACCCAATGAAGAAACTGAACAAAGTAAAATATTAACACCCAATTTTCTTATGAGTTGATTAAACAAACATTTACTAAATTCCATACAAAGTTTAAACTAACAATTCCTGCAGTCCTAGAGCGTTCATGGTACAGGAGAGAGAAATGTATACAGAAATTTCCTAGTGTGGTGAATATCACAACTGAGATGTTGACAGAGTACAATGGGATCACAAAAGTGGAAGTATGTAATCATGCACACAGACATCACAGAGTATTTCACAAAGAAGGTAAATGTTTAGTTGAGTGACATCTAATTACAAGGAACTCCCTAAACAGTTGCAGGGGAAAGCAGTTGCAAAGATATGGAAGGAAAAAAGACCATATCGTACTGTCAATTTCTAAATGTTTTAGCACAGGTGGAATAACTGGAGTATAAACAGGCAGGGAATAACTGCCCATTCAAATAAGGAATTAAGAAGCCACCATCATTTTTATTGATTTTTGGGGGTTTTGCTGTCAAATTAATTTTTCATCTATGGAAATTTGGAAATGGGGAAAACATAGAGAAGAAAAGTAAACTTACTTCAGATTCTATCAGCAAAGAATTGTGTGACTTGACTACCTGCTTTATTCCACAGCCCTGATTCTAACAGCCTTGCAGTGATACTGATCTGAGGTCATGGGCAGCAAATGAGACTGTGCCGCAACTCAGTTGGGACCAACCATATTTCTCCTAACTCTCACCAGAATGTTCTCCACTCATTTTCCACAATGATGCATTCTTTTCTCCGTCTTGGTGCCTTCTGGATAATTAAATTTTCCCTAGACTTGGCTGATATTTCCTTGATTTTATGGTATGTGACTGTCGTTTTCTATTCTTGGCACTAACAAAGGTAGTTTTCTTTTTTATTATTATTATTTCCTATTGTTTTTATCCTAGCATATGACCACTTGTTGAAAAGGGGTTTTGCTCTTAAAGGAAGCTTTGCCAGAAATCCAGAGCACATTTTCTCCCTTTAATTCAGGATTGTACATGTAAGTGGCACTGCTGGGTCAAGCAAGAAGTACTATTGAAAGGGTTTGGTATAGAGGCAAGTCGCTTTCTGAAAAAAATGTCAATTTTCATGCCTATGATGACATGTGAGATGCCATTTTCTAGCATGCTTACTGACACTGGGTGTTATATTTTATCTTTGCAAACAGTTGAGGGATTTTGAAGAATCATGGTGATAAAATCACCATTTAGCTTTCTTGCTGTCAGTCTACCTGCAGCGTAAAGTGTATGTTGAGCATACAGGGTATGGTGTAGTTTGCAGGCCAAAAGATAAGGTAGGTGGTTTGTGAAATAATCTAGATGAGAAAACATAACCAGGGAAGTGGCAGGAGGAAGAAGAAAGAAGGAAAAGAATTTGAGAGACACGAAGGAAGTATAAATATTGTAACCAAGAACATGTTGCTAAGTGGGGCAATAAAAATAATTTTGAAAATTGCTGGTCTCTACAAAGCACTTTATATATATTAGTTCATATAATTCTCCCAAATTTAGAAGATAAGTGTTACTATTATGATTTTTCAGATTTGTAAAATAGGTTAAAGTAGACATTTAGAAAGTTGCATTATAATGATTGTACCCACTTGTAAATAGGAAGCAAGATAATACATATAGCTATGCATTGAGTGCGAACTGCTTGTGAGACATAATTGTATAGCTAAGTAGATTCAGGGAAATGCGAGTTTGGAATTTAAGGCAGAGAGAGGAATCATAAAATTTAAAATGTGACAGTCATTAGGATATCTTGTTCCCCCAATAAATCTAAGTCCTAAAGTAAGGCAAACCTTATTTATGAGTTTTATACATCAGATATATTCTATGAATATAGCATGTCTCTTTCTGTCAAATAAGTAAACTGCCTTAAAAAAAAAGATAGTATCTAATCTACATACTATGTGAAGAGCAATACTGTTTATGCAGGAAAAGGATAGGAGGGAGAAAGCAGAGAACAATACCACAAAGGACAGATGTTCGCAATATGTAAACTGAGTAAAGTTTCTTGAAGGAGTGAGATTGAAAAATATGTATCTGGGGCCAGGCACAGTGGCTCACGCCTGGAATCCCAGCGTTTGGGAGACCAAGGCAGGCAGATCACTTGAGCTCAGGAGTTCAAGTCCAGCTTGACTCTAACTTGGGTAACACTGGGAAAGCCCATCTGTACAAAAAAATGCAAAAATTAGCCAGGCATGTGGCATGTGTCTATGGTCCCAGCTACTCAAGAGTCTGAGGTGGGAGGATTGCTTGAGCCTGGGAGGTGGCGGTTGCAGTGAGCTGATATCATACCACTGCACTCTACCCTGGGTGACAAGAATAAGACCCTCTCTCAAAAAAATTAAATATATATAATATATAGACTTTATATTATATATAAAAAACTATGCTATATATAATATATAGACTTTACATTATATATAAAATGTAAGACTATATATAGAGATTTTGTTATGTTTAGAATATGTGGTCAAAAAAGAAAAAGAAAGAAAGGCTCTCTTTATGCATGATGTGTCAGAATTTAGCTATTGTGTCTTCACTAGCCAAAAACAACATAGTCAATTGAATGCATTCACAAATATAGGCAAAAGGTCATGGTTCCTAAAAATCTAGGTTCCAGCAATGTTTACATACTTTTTAATGAATCAGTGATCCTTATTAGGTCAATGATAATACAGTAAATTTTTCTTACCCAAAATCTTTAGTAATAGCTAAATCTTTAGCTTTTCCAGATCGGGACATTTCTTAATAGTTATAGAAATGACAACTCACCCTCATTTGTGATTTATGATATAATTTAGCTTTCTTTCAATCTTGCTACTTTCTTTTATGATATTGCATCATTTTTTAGCACATTTACTCAAATATGACTTAAAATATGCAGAAATACGCCAATCAGACCTTATTTTGTTATCAGTTAGCATCTCTTAAATAGAGAGTACTAATGGTTAAAGTTTGTAGATTCTTTTCATGTCTATGAAAATAACAAATAAATTAACCCAATCTTAGTAGTCAGAGATGCAGTAATTTAATGTTATCTTGGAAAATAAATTAACAATAATCTAATGAGTTATGCTCAAATTATTTCCTAGTTTTTATGTATGCTAAATTTTTATGAAATTTCTTCACTTCATATTTCCATGTGTTTTTGTTCTTATTTTCACTTAAAGAACTCTTTCTGATAATAGAAATTAAAAACCACATCTGTACTTTTCTTACTTTCAAGCTTGCATGAGATCTATGTAAAATATTTTTTAAATGAATTGTAGGATTGCAGTAATGTTCCAAATATTAAGATGGTGTACATCCAAGGGTATATCTCCTCTCATTTTCTCTTTGTTTTGGACATATTTTCTTTTCTTTTCATTCCTAATTCTTGTAAACCACTATAACGTTCATGGTTTGAATACTACAGTGATGATTCCTGCCTCCTTCAAGTGGATGGGCAGATCAACAACATCAATAGGAGAAACAAATTTAAATATTCAAATAAATTGATATTTATTTTATACTTTTCACTATGCTTACAAAAAGAAACTAAATTATATTATGAGTTACATCTGATATTCTATTGATATTTTCATTACATAAAATTCAGCAATCAGAATTTGGGTAATCACATGAATACTGTCCAAGTGGTATCCATCTGAGAGTGTGGGGTCACTTAATTGTATCAACAGGGCCTGTCACAGGCAAACAGGATTTACTTTGTGTTCACTAGGATCTCAATCTTCAGGATTTTTCTCCTAGAAGGAAGTCAAAAGGTAATAATAATTATATTGTCTGTCAGCAATCCATATATAGAATATGTAACTCAAAAATTGCAGTTTTGATTTCCTGCAGTTGATTTTGTTAGATTTACTATGTAGTTTATCGCATCCTCTCTGCTGTCTCTTCCTTTCTTATACTTACAAGACTCACTGCTTTTTCCCATCTCTGCATTGGTCATGATATTCAGTCTCACGCCAAATAGTAGTGATAGTAGGCATCATTGTCTTTTTCTGATCTCAAAAGAAAACCTCCATTCAGGACGAAAGTTGATATTCATTTTACTGTGTTCATATTATTAAAATCCAATTATAATTATTAATGGATCCATTTTCTAATAATTTTGTCAGCTACCACCTTATAAATACTTTTGGAGTCTCTGCAATTAAGTTCATATGCATTTGTGATTATTTCGTTTCCTTGATTTATTTTTTATTAATATGTAGCATCTCTCCCCTCAAGGTATATTTTATCTCAAATTCTACCTTGTCTATTATTATTGATGAGTTTAACTCATTTAGATACTCATTTAGAATTTATATATATGCTCCTATTTTATAGTTTTTACTTACCATACCCCCATACTTCCGTTTTTTTATTCTCTTTTTTTTTTTCTTTGAGATGGAGTTTCACTCTTGTTGCCCAGGCTGGAGTGCAATGGCACAATCTTGGCTTTGATGATCTTAAATTTCACAAGTATGTGTCAGTGTATAGGGATGTTTCTGTTCAGTATTTTCTTCTTATCTAGCTTGTACTATAATCTGTGAATTCTTTTGATTGTAGGGTCTTGTCTTTGTTCTGAAAAAAATATTTTATTTCTTCAAATATTTTCTGTCTTCTGTAATTTTTCTATATTTTTAATTGAGATAGAACTTACATACAATAATATTCAAACTTCTTGGTGTATACTTCTATGAGTTTTGACAAACACATACAGTTACATAACCACCACAATCAAAATATGGAACAGTTCCATCCCCACAAATAATTCCCTCATGCCACTCTATAATGAGCCACTCTCAACATCCCCAAACCTGGCAACTCATGATCTATTTTCTATCCTTGTAGTTTTGCCTTTTCAGAATGTCATATAGTGATATCATACAGTATGTAGCCTTTTAAAATTGGCTTGTTTCACTCAGCAAAATAAATTTGAGATGTAGTTATGCAGCCGTGATGTCATATTTATCAGTAGTTTGTTCCTTTTTGTTGCTGAGTAGTATTACATGGCATAGATTTACCACACTTTTAAGTATTCACCAGTTGTTGTTGTTTCTAGTGTTGATCTATTATAAATATAAGCACTACAAACACTGTTATACAGGCATTTGCAGGAGCGTAAGTCTTCATTTTAATTGGGTAAATCCCTAGGAATGAGACTTACTGCTGGGTCATAGAAGTATAAGTTTAATTTTTTAAGAAATTGCCAAACTATTTTCCAAACTATCTCTACCACTTTGCATATTGCCAGCAATGAATGAGTTTCGGTTATTCTATATTCTCACCAGTACTTGGTATGGTCAGATTTTTGTTTTCTTCTTTATAATGTAGTCATTTTATTGAGTACCCAATGATAGTTCCTGTTGCTTTAATTTAAATGGTACTAATGATGAATGATCTTGAATATCTTTGTGAAGTAATATACTTAGTGAAGTATCTATTCAAATACTTTGTCCCTATTTTAATTGACTTGATTGGTTTCTCATTATTGAGTTTTGGGTGGATGTAAGATATTCTGAATAAAAATCTTTTACGAGATATGTGTTTCACAAATGCTTGTCTTTTAGTTTTTTTGACAGTTTATTTTGAAGAATAAAAGTGTACAATTTTGGTAAAGTCCAATTTATATACTTCTTTTCTTTTATGCATCCTACTTTTGCTGTCATAGCCACGAAAATTTTGTTTAACACAAGATCACAAAGATTTTCGAATTTCTCTTCTAGAAGTAGTATAGATTTTATGTTTACACTGAGGTAAATTAACCATTTTAGTTAATCTTTCTGTATGGTGTCAGGTATGGATCAAGGTTCTTTATCTCATGAATTTGTCCAGTTTTTCCAGTATCACTTTTTAAAAGAATAGTCTTTCTTTGTTCAATTAGATTGGCAACTTTGTCAAAAAGTTAATTGACCAAAGGAAAATTAATTGACCATATAGAGCTGGGTATATTTCTAGATTCTCTGATCTGTTCCATTGATCTTTATGTCTGTCTTTTGGCCAAAATATTACCATAGCTTTATAACAAATTTTTAAATCAGGTAATGTGAGTTTTCAAACTTTGAACATCCTCAAAATTATTTTGGCTCGTCTAATTCCTTTGCCTCTCCATATAAATTTTAGAATCACTTTGTAAATTTCTATTTAAAATTCTGCTAAAATTTTTATTGGGATTACATAGAATCTATAAATCAACTTAGGGAGAATTGATACATTAATAATATTAAATATCCTAACATAAGAACACACTATATCTCTCCATTCATTTAGGTCTTCTTTGATACATTTCATTAGTAATATTTTTAGTTTTCTACATACAGACCACAGACATAATAGAACTTTTATTATTTCAGTTTTCAATTATTCATTGCTAGTGATTTCTTATATATGAACATGCAGTTGATTTTTATATTAATCTTGTGTTCTGTAAACTTGCTAACCTCACTTTATAGTTTTAGTCATTTTTTGTACATTCTTTGGAATTTTCTACAGACACAATTACGTAACTTATGAAGACAACTTCATTTCCAGTCTGAATGCTTTTTATTTTATTTTATTTTATTCCCTTATTGAATTGACTAGGACAATGATGAATAGGAGAGGTGACAGCCAACAGCTTTGTGTTAGTCCAAGTCTTAAGGGAAGAGTCTTTCACTATTAAATGTGATGGCAACTGAATGTTTTTCAAAGATGCCCTCTATCATAGTAAGGAAGTTTCTGCTTATTCTTACTTTATTGAGAGCTTATATCATGAATGAATCCTTAATTATGTCAATTACTTTTACTGCATCTGTTGAGATGATTGTATGGCTTTTCTTTTTTAGTATTTTATGTTGAATGATACGTTGAATAATATCAATTCATTTTCAAACTTCAAACCAAACTTGCATTTCTAGAATAAACTGAATTTGGTCATGATATATTATCATTTTTACATATTTCTGCACTCAATTTGCTAATGTTTAGTGGAGGGTTATACTGTCAATGTAAATGTAGGGTTTTGATACGCAGTTTTCTTATAATGACTTTGGCTAGTTTGGGTATACAGTAATGCCAGCCTAATTGAATGAGTGATAAAGTTTCCTCTTTTCCATTTTCCTCCCTCCCTCCTTCTCTTCCTTCCTTTTTTTTTTTTTCTTTTCTTTTTTTTTTTTTTTTTTTTTGAGACTAGGTCTCACTCTGTCACATACGCTGAAATGCAGTGGCATAATCATGGCTCACTACAGCCTCCCCTCCCAGACTCAAGCCATCCTCCCATTTCAGCCTCCCAAGTAGCTGGGACCTCAGGCACATACCATCATGCCCAGCTAATTATTTTTATTTCTAGTAGACACAGGAGTCTTTCTATGTTGCCCAGCCTGGTCTCAAACACTTGGGCTAAAGCAATCCTCCCATCTTGACCTCTCAAGGTGCTGGAATTACAAGCATGAGCCTCTATGCCTGGCCTCTTCTTTTTTAATTTTCCACAAGAGCTTGCATAGAATTAGCATTATTTCTTCCTTAAATGTTAAGTAGAATTTATTAGTGAACCACAGAATTTTTTTGCTGGAAGGTTTTAACCACAAATTCAATTTCTTTAATAGGTATAGGACAATTAAGGTTATCTATTTCTCTTTGAGTGAGCATTGGCAGTGTGTGTCCTTTAAGGAACTTGCCTATTTATCTAAAGGTTTTCAATTTATGACATAAAGTTGTCTATAAATTGCATTGATTTTTGTAAAGAACCAGTTTTTGGTTTTACTCATTTTTTTCTAGTGTTTTTCTGATTTTAATTTAATTAACTTATCCTCTTTATTTTTAATCTTTATTGTCTCCTTCTGCTTGTTTTGAATTAAATTACTCTTTTCTTTCTTAAGGCAAAACTCATATCATTGATATAAGGAATTTGTTCCTTTCTAAAATATCCCTTACTGCTATGAGTTTTCCTTTAAGTGTAGCTATAGCTGCACCCCACATAATGTGCTTGCATTGTCATTCAATTCAGAATACTTTTTAATTTTTCTTTCTATTTGAACCATGAAATATTGTAGAAGTGCCTTGTTCAACTTTCAAATTGTGAAGATATTCCAGATTATTTTCCATTTTTTATTTCATTATCTTCAAAGAATATACTTGTATGATTTCCATTCTTTTACATTTGTCAAAATTTGTGTATTTTGATGACCACTTCCTGTGTACCTGAGGTGATATATTCTGATATTAGTGGTTGAATATTCTATCTATATCTTAGGTCATATTGGTTGATAGCATTTTTCAAGTCTTCTCTATCCTTATTGATTTCTATCTACTTGCTCTATCAATTACTGAGAGAGGAATGTTGAAGTCTCAAACTACACTTGGGCACTAACTATGCCCTTCTTTGAGAGTTTAAGGGGGAAGAGTAGAAATAGAGGAAACATTTCAGGGCACAGAGTCTTTAGTGTAGTGCTATCCAATAGAAGCTTTTGCAACAGTGGAATGTTCTATATTTGTGATGTCTGCATGTGACTCTTTAGCACTTGAAATGTGACTAGTGTGGTTGAGAAACTGAATTCTTAGTTTATTTTATTTAACAGCCGCAGGTGACTCGTGACTACCACATTGGACTACACAGCTTTAGTACATGGTTGGACTTTACCATCTTATATAGGGTCTTATTTCCTAGCAACAAAGACTGAGATGAAGATTCTGGTTTATGTGACTTGTTGAGTACTTTCAGGAAAAATTGAGTGAGGAAAGCTGGATATACAGGGGAAAGGAAACAAAATAAGAAGGAAGTCTCAGCTGAAAATTACTTTTAGTCTGATCCCTTGGGAAAGAAAATTCTACCAGAGAGGTAGACTGACCTTGAGGCTGAGCCAGCCTTTTATACTTCCATGCAGGGTGGAGGTTAGGTTGGTGCTTTCCTGGTAGGCAGGTCTTGTCAAGGGCAATTATTATTATTATTTTTTAAGACAGGGTCTAGCTCTGTAGCTTAGGCTAGTGTGCCGTGACATGATCTTGCCTCAATGCAGCCTCGACCTCCGGGGCTCAAGCGATTCTGCCCCCTCGGCCTCCCAAGTAGCTGAGACCACAGATGTAAGCCACCATGTGCGACTAATTTGTTTTAGTTTTTGTATTGTTTATGGAGACAGTGTTTCCCCATGTTGCCCGGGCTGGTCTTGAACTACTGAACTCAGGTGATCCGCCCACCTTGGCCTCCCAAAGTGCTGGGATTACAGGCGTGAGATACTGAGCCAAGCCTGCCAAGGGCAATTCTTTAAAGGAAGGGGCTATTAGAATAAGGGCTATTATCAGCCAATACTAGAGCAAATGAGTGATAGGCGCATTGTCTGGTATAAAAGAATCTAGGCCAGCCGCCGGGGCTCACGCCCGTAATCCCAGCACTTTGGGAGGCCGAGGCCCAAGGGATCAGACTGAAAGCAATTTTCAGCTGAGACTTCAGTCTTGTTTTGTTTCCTTTCAAACTGCAGAGGAAAATGGGTCAGAATTATAGCTTTAAAATCCAGCCTCAGCTGTATACAAATGATTTTAATAAAGCAACATAAAAACCCTGGCAGCCTATCTGCCCCTGCCACCAAAAAAAAAAAAAAAAAATTCTATCACATCACTATGTACCAAAAGACTAAAGCAAATGCTTAGTCCTATAAATCTGTACCTCAGCCTTTAAGGTTAATAATGAAAGGCTTTGGTAATGAAATAACTTAGTAGTGATTTGGAATGTTGATGTTAAGTTTGCTAATCTAATCAGTGAATACCAATATGCTCTTCAGAATCAGGCTGATGCCTTCTTCTACATTAAAAATTTACATTCTTGGCTGGGTGTGGTGGCTCACACCTGTAATCCCAGCACTTTGGGAGGCCAAGGTGGGTGGATCACAAGGTCAGGAGTTTGAGATCAGCCTGGTTAACACGGTGAAACCCCGTCACTACTAAAAATACAAAAACTGGCCTGGCGTGGTGGCAGGTGCCTGTAATTCCAACTACTCCAGAGGTTGAGGCAACAGAATTGCTTGAATCCAGGAGGTGGAGGTTGCAGTGAGCCGAGACTGCGACACTGCACTCCAGTGTGGGTGACAGAGCAAGACTCTGTCTCAAAAAAAAATAATAAAATTTACATTCTTATTTCTTCTTTCCAAAAATTGTTCATTATAATCAGTAATTCAGGTATTTGACTTGCCTTTTAATAATTTTTAAAATTCTCATTTTATATGTAAGAATATGTAAAATAAAACCCATACAAGTCTGTGTTCTCTTTATTGACAATTTATTCTGATTCAAATCAGTTTTATCAAAAGTAGTGCACGAAAACATGTTTCAATGTATCTGAGGCTTGGAATGGCAGCTCATTGTACCCAATACCTTTTGTGAAATATTCATTTCTTTAAAAATATAGATACTCAGTGTAGGTAATTATGTTCTCAGAATAACTAAAATATACCATTATAATGGTATATATATGGTATATATATGGTATATATAATGGTACCATTATATATACCATAAATCAGTATATATAATTTTAGGGAAAATAAAATATTTTTAATTGTAGATTTAAGGAGAAATAGCCATTCTGACTGATGTGAGATAGTATTTCACTGTGGTTTTGATCTGCATTTTTCTAATGATTAGTGATGTAAAGTATTTTTTATGTTTGATGGCCAGCATATGTCTTCTTTTGAAAAGTGTCTGTTCATTTTATAAGTACCACCTCCCTGAAGTTTACTAAAGAAGATAGGAGGCCCAAGTCCCTTTCCTCCAATGTTCAGTTAATTAGAATTACTCCAAAATTAGGCCATCTGGTTAGAAAACATTTGCATTTTCCATTTTATTTTCTAGAATTACTTCCATGACTCTATCCATTGGGAAAGAAAAGAAAGTGTGGACAAAATCAAAGTAACATTCAACCCTTTTTTTTTTTTTTTTTTTTTTTTTTTTTTTTTTTTTTTCTGTCTGATAATCCAGTTGAAGTTCTCTGGGGTTTCTACTTCTATGTGTAAGAGCTTGATTAGTGTTTACTAAAGTGGCCAGTCTTCACCAAATGCACATACCTGTGGAATTTGTCACCTCTCAAGTTCTTCAATGGTGGTCCCTAACTTTCCAGTCTGATCAAAATAGTTTCAAAATCTCTCAATTGGTTCAACCTGGAAAGTCACTGAGGTTTTGACTCTGGTCCCAGTGGGAGGCAGGATTTGTCCAAGTAGAGCATATTCCTGGCACTTCCTAGGCTCAACGATGACATCCGTGGTTGCCCTGATGCAACACTTCGTGTGTGGTGGAGAACATATCTTCTCTTTCTCTAGACCTGCCAGAAATGTGTCAAGGCTAATTTTGTTCTCATTAGTACAACACATCTGCTTAATTTATACCACAAACTTTTTCACTTTACTCAGAATGGGACATTTGCATAGTTTTGCACCCTTTGACTGTTTACCATAATGCTCAATAGTATTACTCAGAAAGTTGAAAATACTTTTGCCACGAAAATGTGTAACAACTGTACAAATATGTTCACAAAGTTCTGATTTCAAACATCTTGTAAACAATACAATCTAAACCAGGTCTATATTAAGGAAATGATGCATCAAAATAAATGTTATGCCTGACTTAAATCTTCTACGATGTTTGATGAACAATGAAAATGACATAAAAATTGAATATTGCTGTAATACTTAGTATACTTTCTCAATATTTACTTTTACCCACATGTATTCTAGAATAAAAGATTGGAACATTTCCTTCAAAACTTCAATGTCTTCAGTCATTCATTTCCTACTGATTCATAAGTATATATCATGTTTGAGCCTCTCCTATATTAAAAAATAAATTGTCTACTGCACATTCCCACCCAGCTATCCTCCCACTTCTCATTCTCTTCAACTAAAATTCTTGAAAAAGTTGTCAATTTTAACCCTCATTCACTTTTAAAAATTTTTTAATTTTATTTTAAGTTCAGGGGTACATGTGCAGATTTCTCCTATAAATAAACTGTGTGTCACTGGGGTTTAGTGTACAGGTCATTTTGCCACCCAGCTAATAAGCATAGTACTCTACAGGTGATTTTTCAATCTTTATTCTCCTCCCTCTCTCAACCCTCAAGTAGGCCCCTGTGTCTGTTGTTCCCTTCTTTGTGTCCATGTGTACTCAATGTTTAGCTCCCACTTCTAAATGAGAAGATGTGGTATTTGGTTTTCTGTCGCTGTGTTAGTTCACTTAGGATAATGACCTCCAGCTCCATCCACGTTATTGCAAAGGACATGATCTTGTTCTTTTTTTATGGTTGTGTAGTATTCCATGGTGTATATATACCACATTTTCTTTATCCAGTCTATCATTGATGGGCATTTAGGATGGTTCTATGTGTTTGCTATTGTGGATAGTGCTGCAATGAACATACATGTGCATGTGTCTTTATGGCAGAACAATTTATATTCCTTTTGGTATATACCCAGCAATGGGATTGCTAGATCAAATAATAACTCTGCTTTGAGTTCTTTGAGATAGCACCAGACTACTTTCTACAATGCCTGGACTAATTTACACTCCCACCAGCAGTGTACATGTGTTCCCTTTTCTTTGCAACCTTGCCAGCATGTTACTTTTTTTTTTTTTACTTTTCATTAATTATCATTGACTGATGTGAGATAGTATTTCACTGTGGTTTTGATCTGCATTTCTCTAATGATTAGTGATGTCGAGTGTTTTTTATATATTTGATGGCCAGCATATGTCTTCTTTTGAAAAGTGTCTGTTCATACCCTTTGACCACTTTTTAATGGAGTTTTTGTTTTTTTGCTTGTTGATTTAAGTTTCTTATAAATTGTGGATATTTTGTTACACACATAGTTTGCACATAGCTTGCAAATATTTTCTCCCATTTTGTTGGTTGTCTGTTTACTCTGTTGATAGTTTTTTTTTTTTTTTTTCCTATGCAAAGCTCTTTATTTTAAGAAGGTCCCATTTTTAAATTTTTGTTTGCTGCAATTGCCTTTGGCATCTTTGTTTTTGGCATCTTTGTCATCCTTGTTCCCTTTTATCCCACTCCTTCTTCAACCCACTGCAATACAGCTTTCTCCCCTGCCTTGCCACTGAAACTGCTATTGTCAGGATTACTGGTGAAATTTTTCATAGATCTGGTGGGGAATTTTCACCACTTGTTGATCCACTCATTCCTCAAACACGTTTTCCTGCTGATTTCCTTAATTCTAACCTCATTTCCTTTCAGATATTTTTTATAGGTCCTCTTCTGCTTGCCTTTGAAAGAGAAAATATTTCCTCAAGGCATAGTCTAAGCCACCTTCTTTTTTGCAGTGCACACACTCCACCAGTGATTTATCAACTTCCATGGAAATAAAACTCAAATCATTAGGCTAGATTTCTCTGTTGAGCCCCAGCCTTGTGTGCATACTTGTCTATTGGGCACAGCTACTGTGATGGCTTCTGGACATTTAAAGCTCAACATGTCCAAAACTGAACTCACCATCTTCACCTTTTTTCCAACCAGCTTCTCCCTAGGTGTTCCCTTTCCTAGTGAACAACATCACTCTCCAACCAATTACTCAAGCTGGAAACCTGAGTTTTCCCTCACTCTTTTCTCTCCCTCACTCTCATATTTAGCCAAAAATCAAATTTTGTTTAACTTATCTCCTAATCATTTTTTAGATGTGTCTCTTTCCAACACCCCACACCACTGCCCTATTCTGAGTCATCCTATTTGCTCACCTGGGTTATCACCGCACTTGCTTACCTCCATTTTATACCCCAGGTTATTCACTACAATGCAGCCAACAGCTTTAATGTGCCACTGTGGTCCATACTGAACTGTATTACAAAGATCCATAGGAGCCATGTTTTAATTATTTTGACATCTCTCCCCTTTTCCAGAACACTCTTAGCTGTCTTCATTGTCTGGGCAGCTTCTGTTCATCCATTGGTTTTTAGCTTTTACATATATATATACACACATACATATATATACACACACATATATACATATATATCTTCCACCAGAAATTTTTTCCTGATTCAATTCAGGAAATTCAACCTCCTCCCTCAGATGATGCTTGGTGTGTGAAGTGAGATTGGCAGAAGGTGATACTTGACAGATAGAAGAATCATATGAGCCATCCGTGAGCTCTCAAGAGCATCAAAAAGGTATCAACATGTTAGAAACAAGGTTACAGAAGAACACAGTGGCACATTAAAGCTCTTGGACTTTAAACTATCAATTAGGATGACAGTTTAGAAATTCAATGTTTTTGCTACCTCCCTGGGAATTGAAAGAGAAGAGAAGGGAGGGCAAGGGAGGGGAGGGGAGGGGAGGAAAGGGAAGAACAGGGGAGGGGAGGAGAGGGGGAGGAAGAAGAGGGGAGGAAAGGTGAGGAGAGGGGGAGGAAGAGGAGGGGAGGAGAGGGGAAGGAAGAGAAGGGGAGAGGGAAGAGGAGGGGAGAAGGGAGGGAAGAGGAGGGTAGGAGAGAGGAGGGAATAGGAGGGAAGGAGCAGGGAGGGAAGGGGAAGGGAGGAGAGGGGAGGGGTGGGGTCACACATTTTAAGCTGAGAAACATCATTAAAGAGAGAAAGCAAAAACAAAACCAACTGCTACCTTGAATATTGGCTATTGAAGACAGAAAACCTTCTGGCCTAGACCGTGATACAGTGAATGAATATGATTTGAGATTTCCCTGCAACAGTTGTGAGCACTTACATTATCTGGGAACATAAATTCTTTATAATCTCCTAGCAGTCACCAGTTAATAGAAATTACATTAAAAGATTCTAATTTTACTAGCAATATGGGTTGGAAAATTACATGTCAATTTCCAAGTCTGTCTGGGCAGGAGTTCATCTTAGACAATGTGGTCTTAATGGCGTTTATAAGAACATCTTGGAAAGATAACTTTGTTTTGATGAATTAAACATTCTCAGCTGAGCTCCTATAAACAAACATGTAACAGACTACAGAAATCCCAGGGAGTTTTATCAAGTAATACTATCACTCACACCCTGTCTTCTGGGCTTTGTCTTTGATACACATTTACTCAAACTCTATTTCAAATTAATTATTTGTTAGAATTCTAAGGTAAAGGTGGCTTTGCTGTAATGAATGTATTTTTACAACTTGTTCCTGAGATTAATTGTTGATTAACAAGCTTGCTTTGATCTTTGTAAATCTTCTTTGTTTCATTATTATAGATACTTAGGAAACATTTACCAAAGAATTATTGTGCTTAAGGGAAAATTTCATGTCAGGTGGTTCTCTTTGTCAGCAATGCATAATAGAATGTGTATAATCATAGCAAACAAATAGCCACTGTTAATGTATTTGCTGACTTGAATCAATTTCCCAATTACTCTTAACTCTTGTATAATTCAGATCCAAGATCAGGCCTCTCTGACTCCTGAAAAAATTAACAGTCTTGACTCAACCCCTCAATTTCATAACCTCACAATCCAAAGCCTTCGTCAAAATCTGTGAATTCCTAAGGGCCTATCCAGACAGGCATTTTAACATCAAACCTGTATTTTTTTCCTCAGAAGAATTATCATGTCAGTTACTAAGACTGTATTTTGTTACTGAGATCTTTTGGATGACTCTATTAATCTTAAACCCCTACTGTCCAATAAAGACTTAAGATCTCAGTGAAACATTTTAATAAATAAAAGTTTATTCTTCTGAATACCCAAATCACAAAAGGATAAAGATTCATTTGCTCCATTTCTGAGTCTACTCCTCTAGCTTAAGATCAGATTAGGCAGAAAATTATTATTATTTTTTTCACAGCCAGGAACCTGCACACCTAATACCTGCAATACAGACTCTTTTATTTTAGAAGTAAGGCACAAAAATGACAATGTGGGTACTGCTACTACCCAGAGGAAAGGGATCCGGGACAGAGCATGCACTATTGCAAGCTCTGGTCACAACATAAAAGCAGAGCTTCGCAGCTCTGCAGCTCAGAGAAGGCACGAGCCCAGCAACACTATGTAGCAAAAAGTAGTGGACAGCCTCCCTGCTGTGCCTCACACACTCCATGCTGCCCGCTCTTCTTAGAACACCCTTACCCTGGACCACCTTCACCTCCATCCATCCTTACTCAAATCATACCTCAGTGACGGCCGACAACCACTGTGAAAACTTCCCTCCTGTCCCCCTCCCCTGGCAGTCCCAATCTCCCTTACTCTGCTCTCCTCTCCCCTTTTCCTCATACTGCTAAGTAATCTTCTCCTTTATTATTTTTATTGTTTACTGATGGTTTTTCTGATGGCATGTGAGCTCCACAAGGTCAGGGATCTGTTATTTCATAA